CTACCCAGGGGGACAGCTTGAGGCTCTGTCTCAAAAAAAAAAAAATAAATAAATAAATAAATAAAAAAGAAATTCATTTAATTAGCAATTGTCTAGGGGTCATAGAGGGAAAACCTTGTAAAGTAAGAAAAAAATCTCCCACATGGACTCTTCACAAATATAATGAACTGTTTTCTTATTTTAAGTTTAAAAATAATGTTGACATTACATTATGTTGGTATTTAATTACATCTTCATGCATTTTGAATTGGCTGTCTTCTTTTTGTATTCTGGAGACAGCATTTTCCTAAGTGTCAGACCTTTTGGAAGGTCCCCAAATTCTTGGAGACCTGGCCTGGTGCCCATGACTAGCCAGCCAGGTCAGCCTGGGCTCCACCCTAGGTTCTGACCAAGACTGCTATGACCGGTTGTGACTGGGCAGGCCCCTTCTCCTGGAGGCCCTACTGCCCTGTGAGTAGGGTCGAGGGCTGGGACCACTTGTTGATTTGGAGCTGATTTCAAGGTTCCTTCCACTTTCTAGGCATCCACTATACCCAGCCCAGTGCTTTTCATGCATACTTCACTGTACCCCCATTTTATATCTGGGGAAACTGAGGTTCAGACAGATTGAGTTGGCCAACTTTTTATGGCCGGACTAGACTCTAGAGTATCTTTGGGAGTAGAAACCAGTGTCAGAACTCCCCAGGACAACCCCCCCCTCCAGCATTACTATACACCAGGCCTCTCAGTGCAGAGGGCCTTAAGGAGCCAAGACTTATGGGGGGGTCAGCATGTAATGGGCTGCTTGTGGCTTTCTGGTACCTGATGACTGAGACCATCTTCCAGACCCAGACCTGCCCATAACAGCCACCCCCCGCCCCAGTCTGAGGAGAGGCAGGCTGCAGACTAGGGGAGGAGGTGTGCAGGGCAACCTTCTGCCTGGAATGTGGGGCTGGGAACCCCAATGACTGGGGAGGGCAAAGATGAGAGGAGGTGGGGTTAGGGCCCAATCATCTTGGCAGTATGTGCAGACTCTGGAGGAGGATGGGCCTCACCAACCTCTTGCCCCTGGGACACCCTGAAAAGATAAGCCAACAGGGATGTTGGTGATCCTGAGCCTGAGATAGGAAGTTGGGCCCAGTAAGTATAGGGAGGGCTGGGGAGCAGACTCCCCTGAGGGCCTCCACATCCTCATGGGACCCTGGGGAGGGAAGTAAGGCAGCCTTTTCCAGACTGAACCAAGACTTCTTCACCCCCTCCTCCCAGTGCCCCAGAGGTGGTCAGAGCACCCTCATTTTACAGCTGCAGAAGCTGAGTCAGGGCTCAGCTGGGACTGGGAAAAGAAACCCAGGCAAGTTAGGGCAGACTGAAGATGTGCCAGCCCTGACCTTCCACCCCAAATCAGAGAAGCCCCTTCTGGATTCTGGCCCTGCCCTTCTCCTGAGCCCTGGCTGGGCTAGGCTGAGCTGGGATGGGGAAGACTGGGCTCCCCACAGAGGCAGTGAGGGAGAACACTCCAGGGAAAGTGGGATAGGTGCTTGGAGGATAGGGCCCTGGGGGCTTAGATGAATGGAAGTGTCTCAAGAGTGAGGGTGGAAACAGCCCTGCCAGAACAGAGTGGGGGGAATGGGCTTCCCTGGGCAGAAGGCTAGGGATGTCTGCTCCTCCCCTCTGTCCATGGGCTCCCCTGGAGAAGGGGCAGGAAGGGCTTGGCAGGGGGGAAGGAGTGGGTTAGGAGGTACTTGGTCCAGCTGGGGCCCAGGAAAGGTTCCCAGGAGATGCTGCCACCCTGCTACAGACCTTCCTAAGAATGGGTCTGGGGTAGCCCACCCGCTGCAGGGCTTGGGTCCAATTGGCCAGCCCAAGCCATGTGCTCTCCCTCTTCAGCCTTATCCCTGGGGCTCCACAAGCACCTGTGCCCATCCTGGGTGCATCTGCCCATCCTGGGGGGGGCGCATTGAGGCTTGAGGGTGTAGAGGCCCAGCCAGCCCCAGGAGATACCAGCGCTTCACCTATATGTACTTCCCACATCCCTGGGGTGCAGTGGTTTCCCGATCTCCCCTGGGGGCCTCCAGGCTGGGCCACAGCCACACAGGCCAGGTCAAAGTTGGCTCCAGGACTTGCCCAGCTGCTGCATCTCAGCCTTTGTGGTGCCTCTGTGGTGCCTCCCTGGCTGCCCCTCAATCTGTGCAGCTCCTGGCAGTTCCCTACAGCTCTGACACACTTCCCCAGGCAGTGGCACCCCCATGTACAGTCCCAGGCAAGGTCATGCCCCTCAGGTACCTGGGAAGTGCTAAAATCTCAGGCTGGCAGGTGGCTCCCCACAGTCACACCTGGGCACCTACCCTGCTGGCTGTGGAACTGAATAAACCCCTCGCCCCATGGCAGGGAGGAGGCAGGGCACTGTGCCCAGTGGGGACACAGCAACCCACTGGGCAGCCAAAGCAGGAATGGAGCAATTTTGATGGAGAGCCTGAGTACTCAGAGCCCAAAATGCACTCTACTCCTCCCAGATTTGGGCACCCCTCTCCACCTTGCACAGTTCTGGGCAGACTAACCCAGAAGGCCTCAGTGCTGACTTCTTGTAAAGGGCTCTGCCCTGGCCCTGGGGCAGGAACCAGAGAGCCTGTGGACATCAAGGGGGTTAACGTCCATGCAGGGCTGTCCCTGTGGGTTCCACAGGGCTCTGGGGGAGCACACAGTATTCTTAGTCCCACTTCACAGATCAGACAGCTGGGCCAGGAGGTGGCTTTGGTCTGTGGTGTGGGAGCACTAATCTCATCCTACTGCATGGGGGGGTGGGGATCCTGGCAAGTCCTTGAAGCATGGGGCGGTTTCAGCACTGGTAAGGGCCTGCAGAGATACACATGAGGGCTCGGGAGGTGTTCACATCAGTCTGGGGCTGCAAGTACAGAGCTTTTATCGTTTTTTGTTTTACTTTGCTGGCAGCAGCCTGCCTCACACACATTTCGAACTTTCCACCTTATGCCACAAAACTCTCCAGCTTGCTGGTCCCACCCTCAAAAACACCCAGGCCACTGATCTCAAAAATCAGTGAGAGGGTTGCTCATGCTAGCGCCTGCACCTCCTGGCCAGCCTCTTTGATTGCCTATGTAGGGCGACTTCTCTCTCTGAAAAGAGCATCTTTGGCCAGAAGGGACAGCACCTGCCCTTGGGAATGTCCCAGCCTTTCAGCACAGACACAGCACCCAGCCCTCCAATCTTGGAAGCCCCTCTTGCCTGTGGCGGCGGATCTTTGTCCCCTTCTCTGGGACTGGGGCCCCTCTTCAGCCCTGGCGTCTACTGGGCCGCTCTGAGTGACCCCTCCCACTCTGGGCCTCAGTCTCCCACTGATAATATCAGAGGCCTGCTTTTAGGCTCAAACGGTTTGCGCCCTTACCCCCACGCTCAGCCTTTCTTGGGACCACTCTTTGTCCAGTGGGGAGTGGAGTCGCTAGCAGCCCCAAGCAAGACCCCCGAGCAGACGCGAGGCCCCGTCTTCCTGCGGAGTTTGTATAGCTGCTGACTCCAGGCACAGGTTCCTGAGAGTGGTGTGCACAGCTCCAGCGGACTGACGGCGCGGCGAACCCACGCCCAGTCTGGGGATTGCTCCAGTCGCGCCCCATGTCCCCATGTCCCCACGGTCCTGGAAGCCGGCGCTGACAGTCCCCAGAGCGCTCAGCTTCCTCTCGGCAACGCGTCCGCCCGCGGAGCCCTCATTGGCTGCGTGCCCTGCCGCCAGCCATTGGTCTGCAGCCCTACTTTACATAGGTGTTCTGGCCCAATCAGCGTGCAGTGCCTACTTAACATGCACGGCGACCACCAGTCAGCTAGCGCGGGGGCCGGGCCACCACGTGCTGTTGCTAAGCTTGAGCTCCTAAATTGTTACTACCGCGGCGGGCCTATCGGGACAGAGTTTCGCATCTGTCAACATTCTCGGCCCGGCCCCAGGCGTTCGGTCCGTCCCCATTGGCCCCTGACCCAGCCTAGTGCCCGCCCCCAGAGCCAGAATAACGGCTCCTATTGGCTGCATCGGCTGCCGCTCGCCTTATGTGTCAATTTGAGGGCCTGAGGCAGAGGGTGGCGGCCCAGCGTACAGCGAGTCCGCGGAGTCTGGGAAGTGGTGCCTAGGGCGCGCGGGGCCGGCGGCGAGCGGAGCCGGCCGGAGCGGGCCGGGCAGCGGCCGCCGCCGTCCCGGGGCGCGCAGGCGGCTCCAGCAGGAGGATGGAGCTGAATTCCCTGCTGATTCTGCTGGAGGCGGCTGAGTACCTAGAGCGCAGGGACCGAGGTAGCGCCCGCGCCCCTTTGTGCGCCGGACGGCGGGCGGGCAGTGGGGCGCGGGGGGGGAGGGGTCCCGCTGACCGCGCCGTCTGTCCGCAGAGGCCGAGCACGGCTACGCCTCGGTGCTACCCTTCGACGGCGACTTCTCCAGGAAGAAAACAAAGGCGGCCGGCCTGGTGCGCAAGGCCCCAAACACCAGGTACCGCCCCCCGCCCGGCCCGAAGCCAGTTCCTCTCGGCCCGGCCTGGGGCCCTAAGCGCGGCCCCCGTCCCCACTCGGAGAGTCTTCCCGGGCCGGATCCCCAGCCCGCAGCCCTAGCCGCGCCGCTAGGCGCCCCGGCAGCCAGCCTGGAGGAGGAGGCGCGCTGGGTCGTGGCTGCAGCCCCGCCTGCGCGCCCCGCCCGCGCCGTCGCCATCTTCCCGCGGCCGCGCCTCCTCGGCCTCTCGCGTAAACAGTGCCACGCGTACAGCGCCCGCCACCCGGGGTCTCCTCCCGCTGCCGCGCCCGCTCCCAAGTTGTTCTGGACTTTTCCAGGCAGGAAAAAGTTGTCAGTGGGCGCTGGCCGGTGCCCCAGATATCCAGGGAAACAGGTTCAGTCAGGGCACTATGGGGCTGCCGGCCCTCTCTCCTTCTCTCCGCGGATGGGTGGGCTTTCCCTCCAACTATCCCCAAGAGCCAGACCCCCCTCAGAAGCCTGGACAAAGAAGGCGCGTGGAGGTCTGCCCGGGCCCCCACTACTCCCAAAGTGCTCACAGCGCCTGCCCAGCTTCCGGACACAGTGAAACTCCAGCCACACGTGCCGAGGTCCCCTTCTTTGGGACAGGAGGCCTTTCTAGGGGGGAGGAGGGCAGGCTCTGGGACGGGGGTTCCTCTTGGTGCTGCTGCCGCCGCCGTGCCCTTGGCTTTCCTCTTGTATTGCAGAAGCCCTAACAACGGGTGGTGCACCTCCCTGGGAGGGGAGTGAGGACCTTAGGCTAGAGGTCTCCCTGGAGTTTCCACTCTCCTGGCACACCTGAAGATCATGGCACACCTAACTCTGTCTGGGGGCCCACCTTGATTCAGCCACTTCCATGCCGTCAGCCTGGGAGCTGCTTTTGCAGGGGGCTTCAGGGCCCCTTGGCAAAGGGTGCGGCTCATTCCTGTGGCCTGCCTGTTCTTGGGAAACAGAAAGGCTGGCACAGGGACCCATCTCTGTGGCGTCCTGGCGTCCTTAAGTTGGCCAAAAATTGGTTGAGTCTCCAGCTGCCCTGGTGGGACCTGTCTCTTGAGTTCCAGCCCCTGGCCCCCTGTGGGGGCAATTTGGTGTGTTGGACATTTGTGTGTTGGAGACTTCTCAATGACCAAACCTGGCTCTTGATGCTCTTCCCATCGCGAATCACGGCTACCTGCAGAAAACTCCAAAATGTGACTCGGGCCCTATGGCCAGGGTACCCAGGGCTGACAACCAGAGACATGGATGAGGCTTTCTTAATGCTTTCTCTGCACAACTGTTTCACACTCACAGCTCATTAGTTTCTGCCCCAGCCCAAAGGATGCAATGGCATTTTTAATGCCATCTACTGCTCAGGAAACTAAGGCACAGAGCAATTTAGTTACTTGCCCAAGGCCACTTGTCCACCCCGATGACTCCTATCCTGAGGTGGGGTCCTCACCTTCCACACCTACTGGGATGGAGACTGGGAGGGGGGCCTGGTGAGGGGTGTGGAGAGCTCCCCAGCTGGGCCCATATCCCTTGAGGCTCCCCCAGGAAGAGCCCAACTCCCCCTGCCTGAGGAAGGCCCAGGCTGATAGATTGCCTCTTCTTTGGTGGTCACTGTGCTAGAAGCTATCCTCAGCCAGCCCAGATAAGGAACTGGGGCAGAGCAGGGGGCCAGGAGCTCCCTTGCAGGGCTTGGGTTCTTTGAGGTGAGCAGATAGGTGCTTGTCTGAGGACCCAGTCTAGCCAGGGCTAGCCCATCTCTCCTTAGAGACAGGGTGCTCCTGGGACCCATGTTCACACTCCTCCTTTGCAGAGGCCCCAGGGGTTTCTGAACCCATGAGGATCTGGGGGTAGGAGGGCTGGCCCCTCTGCATCCCCTAGGCTACCTGAGGAGTGCCCCTCTGCCTCCAGCATGAGGTCTAACCCAGAGGCTACATGGGGAGGCCCAGGAACCGGCAACCCCAGGGCCCTGTTGGCTGCAGCAGGAGATGGAGGCAGATAAGATGGGCAGGCACTCTGGCTTGAGGGATGGGGACAGTAGACACCAAATCCCAAATTCCTAGAGCAGGAGAGAGTGGTAGCAGTGGATGACAATTATTCAGTTAAGGAAGGGCTGGGGCAGGGCCTCTCCAGGCTCTGTTCACATGTGCAGCAGCCTGGGAGGCCTTGATGACCTCTGGGGTTTCCCTGGACTGGGAGGTTATCTGAAGCTGGGAACACACCTTGCCACCCTTTCGTCTTCCAGTGCAAATACTGTGACACTACCTCCTGTGGTATGTGGTATTAATACTGTATCCTTGTCTGACTGGGCCAGAGAGGCAGCATGAGCTTCAGGCAGGGCCCCTGCCTCAAAGAACTGAGCCTGGGGCCAGGGCATCCTGTTCACCCAGAGCACAGCCCCTGAGGGAAGCAGGAAGGCTGGCCTCAGTGTCCCCTGTGCCCACTAGCCCAGCAAGCATCAGGTCTCAGAAGCCTGTGGTCTCGGCTTGTGGGCTGACCTGGCTGAGACTGCTCTGTCCCTGGGTGTCCCTGCTGATCCAGTGAGCTGTGATCATGCAGGTATGTGAGCTGTACAGGTCCTATTCTCAGGACTGCTATGTCTCCTGAGGGCCTGGCCTCTGTGCTCTAAGCTCAACCTGCCATTGTTCCTCTGTGCTAGCCCACGTTTGTTCTAAAGACACCATGAGCCTCAGGGAGGCTGTCTGGGCAACTGTGGGGCACTGGATAGGTCAGCCCCAGGACTAGCTACTGCTACTCCCTGGGCCCCCTGCTGCCTCTGAAAGGGGTCTGGATTCTCCTGTGGCCCAGAGCTCTTGCAGACCTTGCTAGGTGGCCTGGTGGTCCTGGACACCCTAGACCTGCCTACACATCCATGCTTCCCTGTTCTCATGGTTCAGTATGCAGCACCTGCAGGCCCTTGGCTAGCAGCTGTTCATCTACTCTAGTCTACACCTCCCTGGGTGATTTTGGGTTCCATACCCACCTGGCCACTCTCCGTAACCCCCCCCCATCCCCCAGTAGAGCTGTCGACCTTTGTGCTCTGGTGACTGGGCAGTGCAGTGAGCTCTGTCTTTCTGTCTCTCTAACAGGTCTTCACACAATGAGCTAGAAAAGCACAGGTAAGTGACATCTTCCCAACCCCTGAGGCAAGCTGCCTGACATAACTGGCCCACCCTCTGCTGAGGAGATGGTGTAGCAACCTAGTGTCCTGCCTGTCCTGGCCTGGGCATGACTGAATGTGCTGCCAAGGTCTGCCCTTATCTTAGGAAAGGTCCTCCTTAAAGAAAGAGGCCAGGGTGTGTATTCAGGCATCATCCTGCAGGTAGCTGGGGCCCCAGGGCTTGCACTCAAGAGCTTAGCTTCGGGGGTCAGAGCCAGGTGGTGACAGAGCCTTGGAGCATGAGGCAGTCAGGGCCAGCTTGCTGGAGGAGGTGGTCGCTCTGCTTTGGAGAGGCTGAGCCCTGTTGGGAGATCTTCAGCTTTCCGGATGATGGGCTCTGATCAGGAGCTGAGGCCTCTGGCCCCTTAGCCCTATGGTCCCTGCCCCTGTTTCTTCTGGGGTCTGCTTTCTAAGGAGCCACACTACAGTCTTGTCCAACGGGCAGCTGGAGGGCAGCCAGTTCCAAGCCACATGGACCAGGTGGGAAGCCGTAGCCCAGGGCAGGACTCAGGTGAACCCCCTTCATGGCCACTCATCAATTGTGGGGCTGGGTCCACTGGGGAACACAGCCACCTAGGAGGCCTCTGCTCCTGCCTCAGTCAGCCTGGGGCCCTGCACATAATGTGGCCAGGAGTCCCTCCTCTGGCTGACACGGGCCTGAACAGCTCAGGCAGCAGACCAACTGTACCAGTGGACATGCCATGCTGTGATCTTAGGAGCTTGTGTGGGTGCAGAGGTTCTGTGGGCCAGGCAGCACCAAAGACAGGAGCCCCTTGCCAGGACCAGAGAGACCCCCTGAAGGATGCCAAGTAGTCACTCCTCTTGACTTTGCTTCCATCTGTGAAATGGGCCAGCTCTTTCTTCCCTCCTGGCAGAGCAAGTCTGCACACTAGCTGAGCCTTCCCTGCCTGCTGCAGAAGGCCTGGCATTTGGCCAGTTCTCCACCCACCCCCACGTCTGCACCCACAGCAGTGCCAACTTCCGCTCCCCCAGGATTCAGACTGCTGGCCGGGGCGGGCAGCTGGGCAAGGGCAGAACGCTGTGTTCTCTGAGGAACTGCACTTCCTGGACTGGCCGTGTGTGTTTGGGGGTTCCCCAGAGGGACAGAGGTGGGGGCAGGTGCAAGGCCTGAGGAAACCAGGCAGGCCTGGAGTTGCTTCCACACCAGAGGAAACCAGCCTGGTCTTGACCTGAACCCAAGACTTGGGTAGGTCAGGCGGGGGTATTCTGGAGAAGTCTTCTTGGATGTGGTGGCTGGGAGGACAGACAGAGATGTTGTTGGGCACTGGTGGGTGGCAAGGGTGTGGCAGTTTCTGACCACTGCAGCTGCCTCTTGACCTCGGCCTTGGCCCCTGCCATCTCTTCCAGGGATGTGAAACATGGGAGTTGGGGAAGATGGGTGGGCACCCTGGTATCTCTGTCGGCTCCCTTAGCCCAGCACAGGGTTCCCTGCTCTGGCTGGCCAAGAGGCAAGTGCGAACAGCCCTGAGCACCCATAGGCCTAGAGCTTAGGGCTTAGGCTACCTGTGGATGGCCTGCTGCTGATGCCGGATGCTTCTGGCTCCTGGCTGCTGGCTGCAGGAAGGGCTGCATGTTGTCCTGAGGATGAGAGGAAGCACCTGGCTGGGCGATCGGCCACCCTGGGAGGCAGGCCCTAGATATCACCCTCCCTGGAGATGTCCCCTCCTTGGTGCTGGACTGGGCCTCTGGGACTTCCCCTTGCAGGTTCTCTGGCCACCCTGAGGCCCACCCAGGCCTGCGCCCCCTGCTTCTTCCCTTGTAGCTGAATGTCTCTGTGAGCAGCTCCAGCAGGGCTGCTTGGCTGCTAACCCTGAGGCCTGGGGGTCAAAGTCACCATACATTTCTTGGCCTGGTGACCCTTATGGCAGAGCCCTACACTTTGGCCTTAGCACAATTATGGGGAGGGTCCATGGCTATCTTTCTTGGCCCTCAGCACTTCCTGAAGTGTCAGGGCCCATCCCAGAATCCCAGAGGTCAGTCCATAGTCCTCAGTGGGCCCCATCCTACTCCTCCCAAGCATGGAAACAATTGTCCAGGTCCTGGGCAGCCTCATCTCTCTGCAGGGCAGCCACGTGCAGGCTTCATGGACCATACAAGGGACAGGGGTTAGTAGCAACTAGAAATGCAGGTAAACACGGGAGAGTGGGAGTTGCACTTGCTCCTGTCTGCACCACCCCTAGGACCACTGGTCAGCATGTTTCCTTGCTGGCTGGGACCCCGGTAGCTAGGAGCTGTGGGTCTTCTTCTAAGGAGTGGGTCAGCCCCTGGGGACAGAGCTGCAGGTGGTCCCAAAGGCAGGTTCTGCCTCTCAAGCCCATACAGTCTTCCCTCAGGAAGTGGTGGGGTTTAAAAGTGCCTTGGAGTGCTTGGGACAGCCACAGAGTGTTGGCTGAGGGCCTAGGGTGCTGCAGTGGCTTCAGTGGAGGGCTCAATGGGAGCCCATGCAGGCGCAGGCTGTGGGGCCTTGGGGCTCAGGAGGCAAAGAGGGTTCTAGGCCCTGGGCCCAGGGTACCCTCTCGGCCACTGCCTAGGGCAGAGAGCCACAGCAACCTGGGCTGCCTGCTGCTGGGGGGTGGAGTTTTGACAGTGCCTATCTTTGTCTCTTGAGAAAAGTCTATGTCCTGGTCTCTATAAAGTATTCTGTTCCAGTGCCCCCTGCACCCACCCCCAGGGATTGCTTCTGGACACAGCTGCTGACGTTTCTGGGATAGGAAGGAGACCTTACTATCTGCTATGTCCTCAATTGGTTTTTCACCTAACACTGCAAAAATACCATTCACCCAAGTTGGACACACTCTGCTCCTCTGGTAACATGAGGGGAGCTCCAGACAGCACTGTGGTGACTTGGTGAGTGTGACCTGTGCATACCCCAGGGGATAGTTTTGTAGGTCCAGAGTCCTGGAAGTAGAGACAATGGCCAATGGATAGTGAGGATTGTGGGCCAATAGCCCTTCAGAACTTTGTCCCTTTGCTCTCCCACCAGCAAACTGAGCTGTCCCCTGCACTGGCTGGGTAAAAGCCAGTCTCTCCTTTCCTTTTCAGCCGATTGGAAGGGTGAAAATTGGCTTCTTGTTTTTATTTCCTCCACTACATGTGCGCTACAGAGTCGGTTTGTATGTCAGATCAGCCGTTCGTACTCTGCGACTTCCTTGTCTGTGTCTTTTGCCCATTGTCACAGGGAGGTATCCCTCTTTTTATTTTTGATGTGTACATGCTCAAGATAATCATGAATACTAACCGTTTGTCTTTTATATGTATTGCAAGTATTTTTCTCCTGTTATTTGTCTTTCAGCTATGTTTTTTTCTTTCTTGTACAAATGTCCTCTCTGATTGTAATAGTAATCTGTGGTTTTTAGCATAGAAACCCTGGAAAATACAGAAAAGCACAAAGCTGAAGAAATAAACGTTGCCAGCCGTGTCAGCTGGACTTGCTTCCTGTGCTTCGTTGTGTTCTGTGGAGTCTCTCGTGTGCGTCTGCTGTTTTATTTTTCTAAACAAAATTGGGTCACTTGTCACATGTGGTTCCGTATCCCAGTTTTTTTCACTTAACATTTGTGCTGTGACAATGTCGATACACTAAAATGATAATGAGGCTGTCTTTGGGTGGTGGAATTTTGGGGTACTTCTGATTTATTTTCTTTTTGTTGATTTATGTTTTCTGATTTTTCCACCATGGTCATATGCTGCTGATGTAATTAAATGGTGGGTTGTAGAAATTGCCATTTGCTCTGTAGCAAGTGGACAAGGGAAGGAGGGTCCCTGACAGTATTCCCACTTGTAAGCTTAGTTCTGGTGTGGCTGCAGGATGGTGGAGACATGGCCTGGGCAGAAAGAGTGCCATTCGCTCACCTAGCTCAGTGTTGCCTGCCCATGAAGTTCCTGGGGTGATAGGTGATGGGTGCTACCCCCACGGGAGGTAAGGAGGCAGAGGTTTCAGGCACTACAGCAGTCATGGAGTGGGGGCCTGGGATCCCTCCCCAGGCCTGTGGAGCATGGGGGAGGGGTTGAAGACTCTCCAGCCTTGAGGCGGAGTCAGTCTCCATACAGTTTCTTGCCAATGTCAGTCCTGTATCCTGGAAGTTTTTCCTAAATTCTGTGTCCTGGAAGTTCTAATTTAGCTTCAACCATAAGAACTTCCAGGCCCCATGGTGCCATGGGCTAGGATGCTGGATGAGAAGGTGCTTTGTCAGTGGAGGGTGCCGTATGGATATAGGCCACTGATAGTGGCCCCAGGTTGCAGCCCTCCCCCAAGGCACCGGGGCTGTTATAGCCCTAAAGGCCCTCCTTGCACCCAGCTGCTCACTCCTCTGGACTTCAGGCTCCTCCTCTGTCCAAAGGAAATGGCTGTCATGCCTGCTTCCCACCTGGGGAGACTGGATTTGCTGAGAGCAGAGGTGACAAGGTAGGGATTTTCAGTGTTAGCACCACTCGGGCAGATGGTATGCGCAGGCATTGGCAATGCCAGGGCAATTGGGCAGCAGGTTTCCAAAAGCCTCAAAAAACATTGCTGCCTGTTGACTTGGTGTTTCCACTGTTAAGGACTTCTCATAAGCAAAGCATCCTGTATTTGCAAGCATCCTGGGCAGCCTGCTTCTGAGCTCTGCTGTGATGAAGCCTTCTGGTATCCCAAGGTGCTGGGCCAGGTGGGGTGTGGATGTGCCAGAGGTCCAGGCCCAATCAGAGATTGCTGGTGGGGGGTGGGGGGAAGTACTGCCAGCCTGCCCTTCTAAGGCCAGCAGACCAGCCAGGAAGGCAGTCCTTTTGCAAGGACAGTCAAGCAAAAAGCCCAGGCCCTTCTAAGGCTCATGACAAACAAATTCTGGAGGATTGTAGCATATGAACAAGTGCCACTGAATATGAGTGCTCCAGTTTTGTGAAAAAATTGATTAATCTGGGTGGATAAAGGGACAAAATCTGAAGTGAAGCAGTTTCCAAAGGGAGACCAAACTCAGGGTTGGAGGGAGCCAGTCGTCGGCTCTTGTGACCTGGATGGACTCACATTTCTTTGGTGACAAGAATGACCAGAGAGCACATTGTTCACAGCGAGGCGGGGGAGGGGATGTAAATCTTGTCTGAGTTCCCCAGACTTGGTGCACCCTGACCAGCATCCCCTGCCTTGCTCCCTGGCCATGCAGACTCCAGATGTGGTGTGGCAGCAGGCTAGTTGGGTCTCTTGGGCAGTGCCTGGTGCTGGGGCTCTGAGGCTCTGCTGCACTGTGCTGGTCTGGGCTCAACCTCGTCCAGAGGGTTCCAGAGGAGTCACCGGTCAGGCCAGGGAGCATCTGCCTCTGCAGCAGGGTGAGGGGCTCTACAGGGCCCAGTTAGCTGCCCCTGCCTCCCCTAGACCTCTTGCTCCAGCCAGCCTTGCCTGCCATCCCACTTGATGGTTCTGTCTCTGGCTCTTTCAGACGAGCCAAACTCAGGCTCTACCTGGAGCAGCTCAAGCAGCTGGTGCCCCTGGGCCCTGACAGCACCCGCCATACCACGCTGAGTCTCCTGAAGCGTGCCAAGGTGCACATCAAGGTGAGCAGGCCACGTCCTCTCCACTGCCCCTGCCCTGTCCGGCTGCCTTGGCTGACCCCAGCCCATTCCTGTGCACTCTTGGGTACGCCCAGTTGTGGGGGCATACAGGGCAGTGCTTTGACCAAAAGGCCTGAAGGTGGGTGGGGAGCTGCTTGGCAGGTGCCTGCTAAGTGTCCCTATTGTGGATGAGGGAGCAGCAGAGCTCTGGGGCTGAGGTTGTGTGGCTTGTACCAGGTTTTGTTGGGTGGTGACACGTTAAGAGGGGTCGAGACACAGAGCTGAAGGACATATTGCCTGGGGTGGCCCTATTATGACCTTTAGACTAAGATCTCCTGCCTTGGGGATCTGGTGACATTTTGGCCCACCAGGGTGAGTGTCCATTCCCTCTAAGGGCTTGTCTGCCTGCACCTCCAGCTGGGGTGGCAGGAGCTGTGAGAGAGACCCGGTTAAAGCCCTGGGGTCCTCACAGCAAAGCAGAGCAGGCAGTATCTCAGCCAGGCTCAGGAGCACTGCAGGTACCGGTGTGGCAGAAGCTAAAGCCCAAGACTAGCGGGCTGAGAGTGTATGAGAAGGGCTGCTGTGGGCGAGGCCATCTTCCCAGAGAGGTCCCAGCTGAAGGCTGGGCAGTGCTGACCTAGGGCTTCAAGCCTGCATGACTCAGCTTGACCAAGGCCTGCTGGCCGCTGGGGGCATTAGAGGCAGTCAGCAGATGAGATGCACAGGGCCAAGAGGTAGCACCTGTGTGTGGCTGGCTGGGGCCAAGAGGGGCACACATCAGGCATGGGGGAGCAGCAGGGACAGGGCACATCATGGTCCCTGGCCAGGCTGTGTGGCAGATGGGGAGCCTGTCCTACCTAACCCCCTGTGCCTGACGCCTGATGGGGGGACACTCCCTCCCTGCCAAGACTCACAGCTGCCCCACCCCCAGAAACTGGAGGAGCAGGACCGCCGAGCACTGAGCATCAAGGAGCAGCTGCAGCGGGAGCATCGCTTCCTGAAGCGGCGCCTGGAGCAGCTGTCGGTGCAGAGCATGGAGCGCGTGCGCACAGATAGCACGGGCTCTGCTGTCTCCACGGATGACTCTGAGCAAGGTGGGGACACAGCCCAGGCCTCCTGGAGCTCCCCAGGAGGTTGGCAGAGGAGGCTCCTGGGGTAGGGTCGGGACGACAGGGTATCCTGGCATCATCTAGCATCCTACGTAGTTCCTTGTCACCACTTGCATGCAGAGGGATGGGATGTAGAGGGTGTGGTACAGAGGCCAAGCCATCTGCCCACGTTGGGGCCGGAGCTGGGTTTGGCCAGGCAGTATGCTTCAGGGGCTGGCATTTGCTGCCTCAAGGCCCAAGTAGAAACTCCACACCCATTGACAGAGCTTCCAGAACGGGGGACAGAGGCTCTCCCAGTGAAGGAGTCCAGGCTGGCTCTGTGTATGCCTCACCCCAACCCCTCTCTGTTCTCCTCAGAAGTGGACATAGAGGGCATGGAGTTTGGCCCCGGTGAGCTGGACAGTATTGGCAGCAGCAGTGATGTGGACGACCACTACAGCCTGCAGAGTGGTGGCGGCAGCGACGGTGGCTACAGGCCCCACTGCCGGCGGCCTGCCCACCCAGGCCTCTCGTAGGCCCCATGCCCTCTGCTCCTGGCCCACCCGCCTGCCTAGCCAAGCGTGTCGGCCCTCCAGGCCTCCCTTGACTGACGTCAGCCTCACCACAGGCCTACTGCTGCACCATTCTGGAAGCTCCAGCTGCTGCCTGGGCTGCCGCCTCTGCCCGTTCGCCAGTCAGGGCCTGCTGAGCCGCCCGCCCCTCCTAACTGGGCAGGGCCCCCTGCAGAGAGGCAGGGCCCAGTTCCTGTGTCCTGGAGCCCAGCGTAGCCACCCACGGTCTATTCTCAGATTCCTAAGCATTCCAGAAGTATTAAATGTCATTGCTGCAAACCTCGGCGGGCACCGTGTAAGGGGCTTACTGACCACCACAGGGAGCTCAGACCCCAACCCTGGATTCCAGGAGAAAGGATCGGACCCAGGAAGGAAGGAAAGAAGGAAGGAAGGCAAGGCTGTCTGTCTATCTGTCCATCTATCTGTTGGTCCACACAGGATCCTGAAGCTTGGATGGAGGGATCCATGAAGGGCGGGACTTGGGTGAGCATCTGAGGCAGGTGGGTGGACAGGGGCCTTCCTGCCCTGCAACTGTTGGGAGCCGGGACTGGGCCATGCCACCCTAACTGGGCGGCTCCTGCTCTGGTAGGCCTGTCACGTGCACCCATGCACACACATAGACACATTCGATCATGTACATGCTTATGCACAGATGCATGTGGCCACCCAAAAGGCACATGTCCTAGGGAGGTTGGTCTTTGGGGGTCACCTAGGCAAATATTAGCCCCTAGTCTATGCCTGGCTGCCCCTGCATTCCCCAGCTCACCTGCACCTGCCCACGTGGCCCTGTGTAGTCTATACAGGACAGGGAGCTTCTCTTCCTGCAGAGGCTGGTGAGTTAAAACCACTGGATCCTCAGGGAGCATTTGCATCTCCCTTTTAAAGAAGCAAATAAATAAAATGCTGCACAGCCCAGCAGCCTGGACAAGGCTCTGGGAGCCCCCTTGGGGGCTTCCTCACAAGCTCTGCCATGTCCACCTCAGCTGGCAGAAAGGCTTTTTCCAAAAAACAAACAAAACATTTTTGAAAACAAAAAGCTGTAAAGACTCTAGGCCAAGGGACTTGAGCGTGTGCCGCTTCTGTTTCCTGTATGAGATTTTTGTACTCTATTTTCCTAGCCGTTGTTACATCTTTGTTTGCCGAGGGGTGGGAGCAACCCAGCATCTCAGGGACCTGTCCCTCTGTCATGTCGTCATAGTGTGCCTTGTGTCCTGTGTCTGGCCCTGTCTCCCCACCAGCATGTCCCCTGTGGCTCACAGGATGCCCCTGGCCTGCCCACCACATGTTCCCCATAGTGGACAGCCCCTCCCAGTATCTGGGCTTCCTAGGAGTGATACAGCCAGGCCTGCCTGGGCATATAGCAGCTCTCTGCCACCAGCAGGAGGGACCATGATCTGGCCTTCAGTTTTGCCCTCCCTAGCAGCTGGCAGGGGCCTGCTGTACAGCCTGGGGACAGCAGACCATCTGGGGAGCTTGCTTGCTACCCAGAAAAGTAGATTCCCATCTGCTACCTGACTTGAACCCCTTGCCTCTGGCCTAGGTTGAGAGCTGCAGTCTCAGACATGGCTGCAGACTAAGACGCTGGTGATGCAGGCCTGGTATTAGGAGGCATTTGCAGCTTTGCATTCCTGAAGTCCTTTGTCCCTGGGGACTATGCAGCAATACTCGGTGGTGGGTGTGGGGCTGGCCCATAGTAGTGCCTACCACCTTCTCTGGTGCATCGATAACCAATTTCTAAATCTTGGGGAAAATGCATGTTTATTTTCAGCCATGTGGATGGATAACCCTGAGTGAGTGGCCTACCAAGGCAGAAAGTCCCATGGAAGCAGCTCTGGCATAGAACCTGCCCTGCAGGCACTTGGGACGGCAGGCAGACAGGCTGGGAGGCTGTGTGTGGGGTTGGGGAGACTATTCAGATATGTCTTTCTGGCCCCACTGGAAGGGGCTGCTCCTGCTGGCCCAAGCCTGCCCACCATGCCCGCACTGCCAGCCCTCTGGGAGGGCCAGTGCCCATTGCTGAACCTGCTTCCTGGGCCCTGGGACAGTCCATGCTCTCAATTCTTGAAGCATCAGCTCCCCCTCTCCACCTTCAACAGAACCCAACCGGGTGACCAGTCGTGGCCTCCCTCAGCCAACTTTCCTGCCAGCTTAGCTGTAGCTTTTCAGGCTGTGGTTCCTGGGTGGACTTGGCAGCCAGCTGCTGCCCCTGGCCTGGCTGGCGTGTGTGGTGTGGCCCTTGGAGTGGGGGGCTGGTGCTAAGAGTTACCCACATCTGTTCTTTCTCCCCAGCTCCCTGTTGTTGGCACAGGCAGGCCATTACAAGTGGCCACAGAGAGGGCTGTTAGAGTGTCTACAGAAAGCAAC